TGCCACTATGCCACCAGATCTCGCCGAAATGTAGCTAGAGGAGGCTATTCCTTCAAAAGGGACATCAAGCTTGGAAAGATGGAGGGTCAACAAAGGAAAGGAAGACCCTCAACAAGATGGACTGATACTGTGATTTCAGCACTGGGCTCTAGGTCTCAGAGATGATGAGGAAGGAACAGAATAGGGCAGATTCAGAATGGCTGTTCATGAGTAGTACTTGACAGCAGATAACAATTACCACCACACAAAATCACATTTTTACCTACAGCTGTCAAGTAGATTCTGATCACATCAACACTACAGTATAGGGCATAGTTTAATAGCCTCATGTTGTTGTGTACCATCAAGTCAGAAATGACCCATCGCTGACCCTCCTGCAGGTCTTCAGAGGCAGTTAATTGCGTAGGAGTAGACTACCCATCCTCTTCCCTTGGAGCAGCTAGTGGCCTTGAACCTCATGCCTTTAGGACTGCAAAGCAGCTTCTTGCCACTAGGCCATCAGATCTATTGTCTTTGCAGAAGTAAACTGCAACTGTAAGAACAGGCGGTAGGTTCCAACTGACTACCTTTTGGTTAGTAGCCAAGGTTCTTATAAATGAACAGCACACCTTCTCTCTCTTGTTATTGGGCTGAAATGACTCACAGATGAACCTCTAGTGGGGTTGGGGTAATCTATACACTGCAGAGGAGGTTGTCTTTCTCCTGTGGAGTTGCTAGTCAATTTGAACAGCCAGAGAGGCCCCCGTTTTGGGGTCAGCAGGACAATTCCCTACTTAATATGCCACCTGAGCTCCCTAAAACATGGTATGCTCCTGTTAGGTGCCATTAAGTTAACTACAACTCATAGCGACCCTATGAACAACACATCTGAACTTTGCCCTATCCTATGCCATCTTCATCATCTCTGATATACTTGAGACTATCGTTACAGTCACTGGACTGAGATGGAGTCAATCTATTTCATTGATGGTTTTTGTTCTATTTCCTTTACCCTTCATCTTCCCAAGCATGATGTCTTTTTACAAGGACTGGTCCCTCCTACCAACATGTCCAAAATAGGTGAGACAAATCTTCATGATCCTGGCTGCCAAAGAGCACACTTTCCCTAAGACATATTTGGTTTTTAGTCTGTCTACCGGATACTCAGTATTCTCCTCCAATACCTTAACTCATCATCCTTTGCCATTGTCCAGCTCTCAGATGCACAGAACTGAAAAGACCATGATTCCTTGAATCAGATCTACCTTATTCTTTAAATTGATATCAGTACTTCTCAACACATTGAAGAGGTCCTTGACAGCAAATTTACCCAATGGAATACATCTTTTGATTTCCTGATTGCTACTGCCAAGAATATTGACTGCAGATCTAAGCAAGATTAAACTATTGACAATTTCAATTTTTTTCTCCATGATGTTGCCAGTGGTAAGGATTTTTTTGTTGTTTTGATGTTGCGGTATAATCCATACCGAAGACTATAGTCTGATCTTCTGCAGCGTCTCAAGTCATGTTCACTTTCCCCAAGCACGCCTATATCATCTGCATAATGTAGGTGGCAATAAGTCTTTCTCAGCAACACTCTCACTACACAAATTCCAGCCTCTCAAAGATTTGCTCAGCATACAGACTGAACAGATATATATAGAAGGTGCTTAAGAGATAATTGGAAAGAACGATCCATAAACACTGATAGTATAGTTGCCACCAAAATGCACTTTACATTTTTTCATCAATTAATTTTTTATGTTTTACTTCTGTCGTAAATATTTTTAATTGCTATACAGTATTTTCTTATTTTGAGAAACCATAATTAATTGATCAATTATATTAAGACATTTCAATTTTTCAAAATGATATGTATATATAAGGGTTGTATATTATTGATTTTCCTTCTTTTTGGATGAGTAGGCATATACCCCAAAGTCCTTATAATAAATGAGAAAAAAGAAGTGTACCTACTTATCCACTTAAACTCATTTTTAAAATTGGTTTGTATACAGTAATTATATTGTGTTTCATTCATGTACATTGTTTTATACAACATTTCGTTTACATTGTTTCATACATCCATAGACACTGCATTTCATATAACTAGTTTCTAATGACCTATGCCCATCATCACTCTATATCTTTGAGTCCCCACTGGACATTTCCTTTTCCTTTACCATCCTATCTGCCCACCAAGCCATGCCATAACAATGATCCCCACATCTCCTTTTTTTCCCCCTGCCTCCTAACTAGTTATTCTTCCTCTTTTACAACAATTTTATGCACTCTTTGTTCTTATGAGACTGAGTTAGTTCACTCAGTATAATACTCTCTAGACTCTCTCACGCTGTATAGTATTTTATCAAATCGTTGCTCCGTAATGTTGCACAGTATTCCATTATGAGAATGTACAAAAATTTCTCAATCCATTAATTTGCTGATGGGCCTTGGGCTGTTTCCATTTCTTGATATTGTGAAGAACAGTGTTATGAACACAGGTGGACAAATCTCCATGTGTCTCAGTTTTAATTTCCTTGGGGTATATTTCTAGTACTGGGATAGCTGGGTCATCTGGGATTTCTATGTTCAGCTTTCTCAGGAAACGCCAAACTGCGTTTCAGAGTGACTGTACACCTTTATAATCCCACTAGAAGTTCATGAGAATTCCAATCTCTCTACATCCTCTCCAACACTTAATGCTTGCTTTCTTGTTAAACTTTGCTACTGCTACTCGGTTGAGATGTTACATCATTGTACTGATTTGCATCTCTCTGACTGCCAGTGATCCTGAGCATTTCTTCATGTGTCTGTTGGCCATCCAAAATGCTTTCCTTTGTGAAAAATCTTCTGTCCATTCATTTTGTTATTGGGTTATCTGCCTTTGTCTTGCAGACATCCTGTAGTATTCTGTAAATTTTCATTATGAGACCCTTGTCTAAGATATCATTCCCAAGTAAGAGGCATCCCAACTGGCAAAGAGGTAATAAAACTGTCACTATATGCAGATGATATACTAGTGTACACAGAGAAAACAAAAATGAACAAAACAAAAAACTCAACAAAAAATCAACCAAACCACTCAACAAAAAACCTGTTAGACCTAGTAGAACAATTTATTAGAGTGTCAGAATTCAAGATCAATATTTAAAAAAGTAACAACTCTAACTAAATGGAAAAATAGTCCCTATTCATGCACAGGAAGACTCAACGTAGTGAAAAAAATGACAGTTCTAGCAAAAGCAATGTACATGTTCAACACAATTGCAATAGAAACCAAACATTTTTCAAAGAAACAGAAAAGTCAATTGGCAAGTTTATTTGGAAAAAAGACACTTCTGAAAAAAATTAAGTGAGAGGCATACCACTTCCTGATCTCAAAACCTACTATACAGCCATGTAACCAAAACAGCATAGTACTGGTTTATTGGGGCTGGGTCTGCCATGGTTTAAGTGGCTGGCTCTGGAGCTGGGATTGGGACTCCTGTTTGGGAGACTCCTCATTGGTTCTGTGAGGAATCCTCTGAAGCAGCAGTTCTTTGCCTATGCAGTCTGGGCTTCACCGTCTCCGAGGCCATGAGGCTCTCTTGCCTGATGGTGGCCTTTCTGATCCTCTTTGCCATGTGAAGAATCCTTCTCCACCTCCCATAGTTTGTTGGTTTTCTCTCCCGTGTGTCTCGTCTACCCTATATGTTCCTTTCCCTGTATCTCCCCAGGCAGCCTGGGAAAGTGATTCACTCAGGGTTTGACTGAGGGAAGATAAATAAACACTGTTAATAGGATAAAAAAAAAGGGAGAAAACCCTTAGGTTTGAATATCACCCGTCAGTCTTATTACTAAGTGATATTGAGCAAACAATGAAGTTATTTATCTTCATATTTTTCCCAGATCTTCTGACTGCCAAATACTGCCCCTTTCAGTATTATAATGGAAGACTAGGTGCCTCTCTCAGAATGTCACCATGCAAAAAAGGTCACAGGAAGCACTGGCTGACGGAGGCTTCTGAAATCCATGAATCTCTTGAAACTGTGTAACACTCTCCATAGGTACATTGTTCTTCCTTGAGGAAAATAGCTTTCTCCAGATTTTCAGGTAGAAAATGAAATCCTCAAAGAGTTAAAAATTCATGTCCTCAAACAATGTCTCTACCTTTTCCCAACTTCTTTTTCTATTCAGTAGCCTAGACATAACGGATCTACTACAGAACTTAAAATTACATCTCAGGGCGAACTCTGGTGGCCTAGTGGCAAGAAGCTGCACTGCAATCCCAGAGGCGAGCGGTTCAAATCCATCAGATGCTATGCTGGAGAAGGAGGGACAATCTCCTCCTGTACTAGTCAGATCTGATTTGACGGTACACACACAAAAAATAATAATAAAAAAAAATTACATCTCAGCTGATAAAATCTGAAAAATGTCATTTTTTTGGGATGCCACTCTTAGCACAAAGCAGAGATGATACTTTGTGTACGCATATAGATTTGTTTTTTGTTCTATTCCCTCAAAAGAAAACTCAGTAAGTCTCTGTTCAAATTCTTTAAAAATATTATTGTTATGTGCCATTGAGGTGCCTGTGAATCATAGTGACCCCATGCATACCAGCTCTAAAGCCTGCCCTGTCCTGAGTCAGTTTGTATGATCAAGTACAATTTTCAAAAATGAATTTTAAAAATTGCAGTATTATTCCCCAAAATAGCATTGATCTATTTTTGTAAACTTCATCATATTGTTAAAGTTTTGCCCTAATAGGCCTCTTAATGATTGCTGCCAGTGACCGATTAATTTTCTTTATACACAAGTGAGAAAAGGAGCACTTTAATCACCAACTGAAAAATCAAG